TGTGTTTATGACATTCAACAGTATTGATAGCAATGTTATTTAATTTATAAATATAATTTTCAATAGATTTGTTAGTAATCCTCATGTGTTCACATTTATCTGGATTTAGTTTTAAGGCATTTTCATTGCAATAATTGTATACAATATTTAAGTCATTTGCATTGGATTCCCTAAAAAACTGCGAAAAACCAGAATTTCTATGAATCTGTGGATAATTCTGTGGCATTTGAGGCACAAAATATGGCATTTATTGTGTATTTTCATATGATTGACGTCTCGATTGGTGAAAAACTCTTGGATTTTGTGGTGGATTTCTGTTCCGATTTCTGGGATTGTCTGGATTGTGGTAACAATGACGGGAGGTATGACCTGGCTTATGGCAAGTGCAGCATAACCTCCTGTACTTATCCCTATTGTTTGGCCCATTGTTTTGTTTCATTGATTGCATCAGAGTTTCCAATTTCTTCATTCTTCTCAATTGTCATTACATTTCGATATAACAATACTGTAGTGATTGCTTAATAAATATTTTATAAAAAACAAATATAACTATAATCATTATATAATTAAATGTATAGTAAGTATTATTTATACAGGTTTTTCATTTAACATGAAATTTTTTAAATATAATAATCATTGTCAAGGCTTGCATATTGCACAAAATCAAATATAACTTTTTATATCAATATTCATTTCGAAAGTTTAAATTATTATTTTCTAATTATCAATTTATTATAAATAATAAACAGTTTCAATTAATCTAGTAATTTATTTATAATTTTTAAATAAATTACGTCTATAGAAATTTTTAAAATACGAATCTAGGCAAATTAAAATCAAAAACTTTAATTTATTTTTTGTTTTAATTTATTTAATTTATTTTACATTATATAATTCACTGATTAGTATTTAATATTATGTTTAATTATTTAAACCTGATCCAATAAAATATTAAATACAATGCTGTAATGGCTTAACAATTTTTGCTGAACTATTTACTCAAAACATTTATATTGTAATCAGAAATTTCAGTTTAACGATATCTAATTAGTAATGCTAAAATATTCCATAAAATTCACATATAAATGCAATTAAAATAATAAATTTGACATTTTATTTTGCCAAACATTAAATTGTGCATTTTTATAATTTAATAAAATTTACATTATACTAAATTTAATAAAAGTTAAACATGGTTATAATTAAATTGATTTAAAATGAGACACATTTTAATAGTATTATCGTTCATGTTTATAGTCGTCAACAAATACTGGTTTAATTGTGTGGCTGCAACTGATCTGGAAAAGTTAACCAAAATAAAGTCACTACTGTGTGTCCCCAATAAGACAGACACAGCTATTGTGGATAAAGTGATTGAATGCCGCAATCAAACGGCTGAAGAGATAGTGTCTATTAAGAATGTTTGTAAAACTATACATAACCTTGTTATTATCCAAGAAATTTTTTATCACCATTCAAGCATGTTTATTTTATATTTATAGCTTGAAACGAAACTAACTGATTGCGTAAAAAAAGCTAATGTGAGCGCCTACACCAAAGTGGATCAGACGGTTATGGAGCGCAAGCAAGCATTGATTATGTATTGCGATAACACGTTTTTCGATTGTTTGGTCCAAACTGGTTATCTACATTTTATTATGTTTTATCCTGTACGTATTATCCTGTACATTTTATAATGATACTGATTTCATATTGATACATGTTACAGCAATGCGTACTCGACGTGTTCAAGAATTAGCGATGCCAAACTATGAACATGAACAATTAATTTTACAGTCACCATTACTCTTTATTCTTATAATTGAACATTTATTTTCACCCTGATTAGAATTGACATGGAAAACTAAATATTTAAAATAATGTTAACCCATTACATGTAATGACATTCCCAAAACCCATACACAAATGAAATTTTATTTTATATGAGTTGCAAGTAAGAAAACTTATTATAGAAAAGTTGAAATTAATTAGAAAATGTGATAAATAAGTCATAAAAGTAATGATTTTTGTGAATTATTTTTTAAGTCAGTTGAACCAGGTACTGGCAATCAATAACATTTGCTCTTGAGCCAACTTTTATAGAAACTGTAAAACATTTCATATAATATTAAAAATTAATGTTTGAAAATCTCCAAACAAATATACAGTATTAGTGTTCAGTACATAGTATAATGTGCTTTTAAAAATAGTGTACATTAATTCTAGTATTCATCTATAATATATTTCTTACAATTTTTAAGATAACTGTAATATTATACCTTTCTAATTTTATTTTTTAGTGTACATATAATGTGATTTTTTGTAATTGTGTAAGTTTTGAACAGTTAAAATTTGCTTAAATATGTAAAATAGTTAAAATAATTGAATATAAAATCTAAAATTTTAATAAGTAGACGAATTTAAAACTCCATTGAGTTAGTTGAAATATATATTTATATACTTAATAAATAAAATGAACGTTATTTCATAATAATAAGATAACATTAATTTTGATTGTAGATTAAAATATAAAATTTAGAATCAAAAAATGAATTCTTAAAAATTTTGTAATTCAAATCTACAATCAAAATTCATGTCCACTATTTGTACAATATTTTATAAACTATTTTTGATATTTGTACACTATTTGAAAAATTAGAGTTGGTCAGTCTGTGCATACCTGAGCTCAATATCTGATCCATGTTCCCAACGACCCTTTTGTTTGCTTAACTTGTTGCAGACATTTACAGAAATCATTTCATTTAATAAAATGTAATAAAATTCTAAGTTAATTGAATAAACAGTAATACTATTAGTAATAGTATTGTGATAACCTGGGTTATTGAGTACGCCCTTATCATTCACTTATGTTATTTTCAGAATAAGCAAAAAAACTTCTCATTTGCTAAAATAAATTGTAAAAATAAAACTAAATACTGAATTAGATAAGCACGCTCCCTATAAACCCTTTGTATGGGGTCTAGTATTATATGTACACGTATGCATTTCAGTACAGGTAATCATTATATTACAATAGATACTTATTACAGTAACAAAATTTGTACAAGCAAAATAAAAGTAATTTTTAAAATCTATTAAATGAATATTTTTTTATTATTATTTTGACTTTATGTGCACTATAACTTATATAACAAAATACCGATTTATAAAATATTGTATTTGTTAACACTGTTATGTTTATAATACTGCTATAATAAAATTTCACTGTGCTAAATGTCACTGCTATAATAAAACTAATCATAGTAATTGTTGAATGAATTAATTTGTAAAACAATCGCATCTATAATGAAGACTTCAATCGTCTTACTGTTGTCTCTCATCTCACAATACAGTGATGTCTCGTGTGTTGAGTTCATAGACTGCGGTTCAGTCGACGGCAAAGTGACGTCTATTGTAGTCCAGGACTGCGGTGTCAGCGATGACTACTGTCCGCTACATATCGGCAAAACCGCCTCAATTGACATGAAATTTACCGCAAGTATAGTATAATAAATGAAAACTAAATGATTTGAATGAAAAAAGCTTTAATTTTTCTTAATATACTATAACTAGACGTGGATTCAGACAAAGCCACTGTTATATTGACTGGTATTGTGAGTATAGACATCGATTGAAACTTATTAATTAAATGGATAATAAACCTAATATTTAACCATGTAGATACCTGATATAGGAGCAATTGAATATTTAACCGAGTAGGTTATTTAGCAACTAAATTTTAATTATTTTTATTTCTTAATAATTAAAATTATAATGAAATCATGGATACAATTACAGGGATGGCTGTAGTGGCAAATACAACCTGAAGTGTCCGATCAAAAAGGGCAATCAGTATGAGATGAAGTTTGAGATGCAGGCGCCCCCTGTGCCGGCCGACATGACACTTAGCATCCTGGTCAAATTAGTGGACTCGAATGGCAAAAATATGATCTGCCAACAGTTCCCGGCCCACGTCATACGTTAAGTCATAATATATTTGAATAAAAGAAAATAAGACAATCAATAAATCTCACCAGTATCATTTTCGTACACATTATTTATTAATCACAACTTTATTGCTATTTTTATTTTTAAACCCAATACCACCCAAACTTACAACCAAATAGTTTTAAACTATTTGATCTGTTTCAATTAAAGAATAAAATTTTAATTATTGTCACAAACTATTTAACAAATAATAAACAACCTCATTAAATTAGTGCCCATAAAACTCTTAATAGAGTAAAATCAATATTTAATTGCATCAAGTAAAGTATTTCATATGACTTAATTCTATTGTTGTCAAACTTTGAATAAAAATAAATGTTATTTTTGCTATAATTAACTAATTTATGGCATAAAATATTATTGATGGAAAAATAATTATAGATAATTTTTTTATTTTGTATACCTAATATGAATATACTATTTTAAAACATTATATTAATTAATTTATTTGTAAAATAATTACTCGTTGCACTTATTGTAATGTACTTCAGTATTTGAGTGAATTATGTTTTAATTAATCATATGATTTAATATAAACTAGTAAAGTTATTGATAGTGTAGTCTACCGCATCAAATTATCTAAATTTATAGATATTCAACAACAAAAATTAAAAATACAATTATAAATAATTATTGTTTATAAAATTTTTTGTTAAACATAAGAGTAATTTTTAAATTTTAATAATGACTTCTTATAAAGAGCTGCTTATGCTATGGGGTAATCCATTTGAGTATATAAACTCGCATTCCTATGGATTGTGGCATAAATTCATTGAATCCGTGAATATGTCTTATATTGACTGCAATTCATACCTCAAATCCCGTGAATTACTGATTCGTGATAACAGTTTTAATCTGATGATATTTGAGGACCAGGTAATTTATGATAAAAGTTTTAATATCATTTCAATATAATTTAACATGTTGACTTAGAAAGTATTTTTAGAGATAAACAATACCAGAGGGTCAGCACTATTTAATTCACTAGTAGTTCCCGTGCTGGCGCAAATTGGCAATACAATTAATTATAGGTCAAGCATAATCATTTTTACAATTATAATTTTACTTTCAATCAAGTAGTTTTTTCAATAATTTGTGTTACTTTTAATTTACATACAGTA